TGACTCAAACTCCACACAAAAAAGGGGCAGAGATGTAAACTGTCTGGGTAAGAGATGAAACTATGACCAATATACCCATACTGTATAGCCCAGCTACAAAGACTAGGGAAATAATTTTCTTCTCCTTTCAGGCATTAAGGAAAGGTTAGTCAAAATAATAGCTTTCCTAGAATCCTAGCAATCAGGAGGCCATGGCAATATCACGAGTTCGAGGCCTACACAGTAAGTTCAAGGCTAGCCTGAACTACACTGTGAGACTGTCTCAAACAAAACAACGCTGACCATTAAGACAATGAAAAAGACACTAAGACACTTCAGGGACCACACAAGATACAGAATATAGTTTTTACCAAAAAATTATAAAAATCAACTATGTTCAACAGAAAGCAGCAATACGAAGTCCTAGGGAAGAGGAGTATTTGCATGAGAAACAAAGAAACTAAGGAGTACAGTCATGCACAGAAAAACTAGAAATTAAACTGTCCCTGAAGTCAAGACCTTGAAACTTATGAGATAAAGACACTCTCAACTGTCTTACATATGCTCAAAAACCTAAATGCAAGCACGGACAAATATCTAAAGGAAACAATGTTGTCTCACCAAATAAAATAGATAAAAAGAACCGAAGAGAAATCTTGGAGTAGAAAAACACAACGAAAAAAGAAAAAAACAAAAACAAAAAACTACTAAAGAGGTTCAAAAGCAGAAGCAAGCAAGAAAGAAAAAAAACAAACAAGAGATTTGGAGGTAGCTCAGTTGAATTATGCAGTCTTAGGAGCAGAAAGAAAAATGTATGAAGAAAAGCAGACAGAGTAAATGAAATGTGGGAGACCATATACATATTCAAAAAAAAAAAGGAAAAATGAAAGTTCCAAAGAGGTGGAAATAAGAATATTTGAAGAAATAACAGCTGAAAACTCCCCAAATTTGATGAAAGAAGCTCAAAGTCTCTAAACAGGATAAACTCAAAGAGATCTACTCTAAAACACATTATAATCAAATTGTGAAAAGCCAAAGACAAGAGTCTAGAAAGCAGTAAGAGAAAAGTAACACATGACTCACAAGGATTCTGCAGTTGATTTCTCATCAGAAAGCATAAACATCAGGAAGGAGTAGAATACTTCTAAAGTACTGAAGGGGTAAAAAAAACATAACTACTAACCAGGAATTGTATATAAAACAAAGCCTTCCTTCAAAAATGTGGGAAAAATTAAAGATTCCTAGATAAATAAAAACTAAGATAGTTTTCACCAGGAGACCTGATCAGAAGAAATGCTAAAGAAGGTCATTCAGATTCAAATAAAAGGACAATAGACAGTAATTTGAACCTGAAGAAAAAACAACACAAGTAAAACTACAAGCCAGTTACACTGCAGTGCACCTGTAATCCTAGCTACTTAGAAGGCTGAGACAGAAGAATCTTGAGTTCGACACTAGCCAAGTGGGCAAGTTATTGAGTCTCTAATTCAAAAAACAAAGAAAAACAATTCCAAAAGCCTAAGAACATAAGTGCATATAGTTTTGGTTTGTAACTAATGTTTATTTCACTTCTGTTAGTTGTAATCACCAGGGTAATCACTGAGAAAAAAAAGAACTTAGAATATGGTATTTATATAGCTTTACTCTTAACTGCAAAAACTTGGAAGCAAATCCTAAATTAAATGTCCTTCAGTAGGTGAGTGGATAAAGTGGTAAATCTAGATGATGGAATATTATTCCGTGGTAAAAAGAAATGAGCTGCAAGCCATGAAAAGCAAGGAAATTTACTGAAATGACTGCGTACAGAATGATTCTAGCTGTATTTTGGAAAAAGCAAAAGTATAGAAACAGGGGTTCCCAAGGCTCGGAGGTTAGGGGAATGGGGGATGAATAGGGAGAATTCAGAGGACTTTTTTTTACAGTAGTGAAACTATGTGATAATATAATGGTAGCTGTATGTCACTGTTCAGCAAAACTTATAGAACATACAGTACCAAGAGTGAATGTTAAGGTAAACTATGGACCTTGGATGATAAAAATTGTGTAAAAATTCAGCACTTATAAAAAAATGCATCACTCTGGTGCAAGATGATGATGGTGGGAGGGTGGCAATGTGTATGTGGAAACAGGGTTTGTGAAGTATCTTTATATTTGTTTGTTCCCCCTATGAGCCTAAAACAGGAAACAGGATAAAAAAACGACTACAAAAATTCAAACAAACACAAAAGACAGAATCATAAGACTTTAGGAGGGAAATAACATTTATAGAAAACAAAAATGGCAGAAACTTTTTTTTGTTAAAAAGAATTTTGCTGGGCTTGTGTAAAAGAGTCTCTAAACTACTGGAATTGCCCCCAGTGATAGTAGTCTTTTATTATTCATGGTGGGACCTCGAGACCATACCCGAGCTTAACCTAAAAAGTGACTCATGGTAGAAACCCAGATGGTTTCAGGATGGGGGATGGTCACATTAGAAAGACTAATCTTATCACTAGGAGTTCATGTATCAGCCTGACCTCCTGACCTCCAGAGTAGGGCAAGAAGGTTGAGATTAGATTCAGTTACATGGCAATGACTCATTCAATCACACTGATGTAATAACAAAGTCCCAATAAAAACTTAGGACATCTGAAGTGTAAGTGAATGTCCTAGTTGATAGACAGTGGTGTGGTGGGAGGATGATGTATCCTAAGGACATAAAAGCTTTATGTTTAAGACATTTTTAGGTGTTGCCCTATGTGTCTTTTCTTTTGGGCTGGTTCTAATTTGTATCCTTTATAATGAGATTACAATAATAAGTATAATAGCACTTTCCTAAATTCTGAGTTATTCCAGTGAAGTACTGAACGTGAAGAAGCAGTAGGCATTCTGGAATCTGAAACCACTTGGTCATAAGTGCTGGTGACTAGGGAACTCCAAGCCTGCATTTGTATCTGAAGTCAGGACAATCTTAAGGGACTGTGCCATAAATCAGTAAAATTTAACCAGTAGTTAGCATAAAAATTTATTGAATCTTGTCAGTAATTACCTTAAATGTAAATGGATGAAAATATTCAATTAAAAGGTAGAGACTGGCAAAATGGATTAAAATTGAATCAATTATATGCTATTTAAAAAAGATTCATATCTTAATACACATATTTGGATTGAAATTGGAAGTTAAAGAATAAGAAATGATATTCAATGCAAATGATAACCAAAAGAGCAGAGATAGGTTACACTAATATTAGACAAAACAGACTTTAAATCAAGTTTGTTGTAAGAGATAAAGGACATCATATCTTTTTTTTGTTTTTGGTACCGGGGATTGAACTCAGGACCTTACGCTTGTGAGGCAGGTGGCAGAACCACTGAGCTAAATCCCTGGGCCAGGACATCATTCTCTTAATAAAATAGCCAATCCATCAAGAAAAATATAACAATTACAAATATATCTTACAGAGCATCAAAATATATGATACAAAAATTTACATAACTGAAGGAAGATAACGACAGTTCCAGGAAACACTGGTGATTACTATTACTACTATGATTACTACTGTAAGTAGTGGTGATGAGGCAGGGAAACTGTGAAATGTAAACTTATGCAGCATCTATAAAAAAGTTAAATGGTTTCTCAAAAACTTAGACATAGTTACCAATAACCTCATAATTATATTCCTGGTACAGTATATACCCTCCAAAATTTAAAAGAAGTACTCAAACAAAAACCTGCATAGAAATGTTAATAGTGACATTATTCAAAAAGTAGTCAAATAGTCAAAGATTCAAAGGGTCAAAAAGTAGAAAGAACCCAAATGTCCTGACAAATAGATAAAATATGCCCATAAAATGGAGTATTTTCCAGCCATAAAAAGTAATAAAGCAATAATATATAACATGAATGAACCTTGAAAACAGTTTACTAAGTGAAATAAACTAGATGTAAAAAGATCACAGATTATTTAATCTCATTTAAGTAAAATTATCTAGAATAGGCAAACACAGAGAGACAAAAAGCCAACTGGTAATTGCCAGGATCTGGGAGGAAGAGGGAGTGAGTGGGCAATTAATGTGCCTCAGTTTCCTTTTTGGGTAACCTAAATGCTTAGAACTATATTGGTGATGGGTTGGGGATTTAGCTCAGTGGTGCTGCCACCTGTCTTCCAAGCACAAGGTCCTGAGTTCGATCCCCACTACTGGGAAAAAAACAAAACAAAACTATATTGGTGATGGCTGTACAACATCATAAATATACTAAATGGGTCTGAATTGAATACTGTAAAATAGTTAAAGTTATAAATTTTGTGTTATATAAATATTACCATAATTTTCAGAAATCTATGTATACTTTTTTGCCCCCTCAAATATTGTTTTCTAAGTACGTTTGTGATATATAATGAATATATTGATTCTGGTGAGTTGATATGTATACATATGGCATCTTAGTCCTTTTTACTATCTCTTCTCTCTTCTTCCCCCCCCATCTCTAGGTTCCCCTCTTCTGCAAAAGGTCTATCTCCCTGTTTCTTATTGTCTTTTATTTTGCTCTTTATTTATACTTTGGGTTTCTCATATAACAGAAACCATGCAATATTTAAGTTTGTGTGCCTAATTTATTTTGCTTAGCATTATGGATTCATGTGCATCCATTTTCCTATAAATGGCTCAAAAGTACTCCATTGTGTATATACACCCATTTTCTTTATCTATTCATATGTTGATGGATAAATAGGCCATGTATCACTGTAATATGATGTTTTTAACTCTTTTGAAAAGATAGAAGTATTGCTAGGTCAATTGGAATTTCTACTTTTAGTTTTTTGAAGAATCTCCTTATTCATTATCCATAGTGGTTGTAGAAAAGGTTCCTTTTTCCCCTAAACCCTGCCAGTATTTCTGGTTTTTTGAGTTTGTGATGAAACCCATTCAACATTGTTTTGATTTGCATTTCTCTAATGGCTTGTTTTCCTGATTATTAATCCAGAAGCAGGTGTAGACAAAATACACAAAAAAAGAAAAAAAGCCTGTGGACTACATACCCGTTAATGCTGCAGGTTTGGACAGTGTACTATATTGGTTTTGTGTAGATATCATACTTTGCCGTGGACTTAGGGTCGGTGATGTAACGAGTGAAAGCTCCTCAATAATAATACTGCTTTTGGGATGATTCTTGGGAAGTTCATTTAATCTTTGCTCTAATGAATACTTTAGAAGATCCAACTTTTGACTTGATTCATTAAATCTTGCTTGAGCCTTCCAAGGGAAAAGATAATTATTGTCATTTAGATAATCACATTGTTTAAATAATATATTTAATAAACAAACTAAAATATTTAAAATTACTTCCGAAAGTGCTTTTCTGTCTGTTACTTTTCCTGAGCCAAGTAATTTCATTACATTCTTTGCACCTTCTGCTACTGCAAACTCTATCCTAAAATGATGCCTTAATTCTTCCATTCGAAGTTCAAGAGGGCTTATCACAGGTTTTGCTAAAGGGGGGAAAAAGAAGCAAACATTAATTGAAGCATTTATTTGGTTTTTTAACATGTAGTGATTGAAAACTATGAAAAGAAATTAATTCCTATGACATTAAAAACTGGTTCTTGGGCTGGGGATTTAGCTCAGTGGTTCTGCGCCTGCCTGGCAAGTGCAGGGTCCTGAGTTCGATTTCCAGTACCAATCAATCAATCAATCAAAACAGTTGGTCCTTAAATCAATAAATACTGAAGTAAAAATAGACACAGGTTAAAATCTAAGGCCTTCCACTTTACTCAATATATCTAAATTATAAATCTACAAAACAGAATTTAGAACTGCTATAACATGAGACCAAAACACAGTTGATTCTCCATATCTGTGAGTTCCAAGATGTTCTGACCATCCCAGATTCAATAATATTTGAGAAAAAAATGGCCTCTCTGACAGACCTTTTTCCCTTGTCAGTATTCCCCGAACAAAACAGTGCAACAAACTATCTGCATAGCTTTTCCATTGTATTAGGTATTATAGGTAATCTAAAGGTAATTTAAAGTGTGAGGATGTACATATAGTATATAGAAATACCAGACCATTTTATATTTTTATATAAAGGACTTGAGTATCCCTGGATTCTGGTATCCATTAAAATCCTGGAACACTCTTCCAAAGACACCGAGAGACAAGTATAGTGTCTGCCTCCACGGCTCTGTCAACTAGCTGTAAAGATTTCTTCTCGAATTAAAAAAACAAACAACCCCCCCCCCCCACTGCAAATAAACCACAAAAACTGAGAAAGACAAAATAATACTTTTAAACAGGTAACAGATTTTAAAAAAACAATTACAAGTTTATTAAAATGAATATATAGCCAGGTGTAGTGGCTCTCATCTATAATCTAATTTGGGGGCTGAGGTAAAAGCTCTTGTGGGTAGTTTAGCAAGGCTCTTTCTCAAAATAAAAAAATTTAAAAGGGTTGGGGATATAGCTCAGCAGTAGAGCACTTGCCTAATATGGGTGAGGCCCTGGCTTCAATCTCCAGGAACAAACACGAACACACACACACACACCAATCAGTAAAACAAAGAAATACACTCTTTTTTTCTTTCCTTTTTTTTTTGTGGTACTGGAAATTGAACCTAGGGTCTCTTCACTGAGCTACATTGCCAGCCTTTTTCTAATTTTCAAATTTTGAAACAAGGTCTCACTAAGTTGCCCAGTGTGGGCTTGAACCTGTGATCTTCTTCCTCAGCCTCATAGAATGCTGACATGCACTACCACACCAGGATAGGAAATATATTCTTGATCAATATCTTCTTCAAATATTAGATAGCATAACTCTCAAGATAAAAGAAAATAATAACACTTTCTCTCTCTCAATTTGAAGCACTCTTTCCTACATGAGACTGAGTTAGTACTACATGCCCATAAAAGAATATTGACAGTTTATGTCTATTCCATCACCATTATCAAAAGCCAATTCATTGGTCTGGACTGCCTGAAGAATCTGCATTCGTATGACTTCTATTTTTGTCTTGCTGTCCTGGAGCAGCTGCTGAGCAGTACCATGGAGTTTCCGATCCTATTAAAAATAAGTTTGAAAAGTAAGTAGATAAAGGGACAAATAAAACATTTTCATATCTTCTAAAAAGATCAACTGATATATCAGCAAGTGAAAAACAGAGTTAAAAGAATTGTAATATAGGGGATGGGGATTTAGCTCAGTGGTTCCACTGCCTGCCTTACAAGCACAAGGTCCCGAGTTCAATCCCCAGTACTCAAAAAAACCCCCCAAAAACCAAGAATTGTAATATAATATGTAATTTTCAGATATATTTACCAAAAAACCACCAAACTTACAGGAAAATAATTAAGGAAAACAATTCCATTAGGTAAGATAATCTGAGAAAAAAACAAGTGAGTTTACAGCCATACCACCCTGAATGCATCCAATCTCAGAAAAAATAAGTGAACATTATTGTTTTTAAAATTAAATTTTTATATATAGTCTGCCAAAAAATATATACAATCAGGAAAAGAAAAACTTGTATAAATATCTTAATACTGAATTTAATACTTAATACTGAATTAAATAATACTGAATTTATTGAGACATCATGAGATTAATACAAGTTATCTTTGGCTTCTACAATTACAAGAGGTGCTCAAAATGGTGGCCATTGGCTTCCAGATATTTATTAGTATGGCAAACTGCTGAAGTGCAGTTTGTCTGTCTGCTGTCTCTCTCTCTCTCTCTCTCTCTCTCCACACACACACACAAACACACACCTGAGGCATGCAAAATGATGCTTGATAAATAAATAAATAAATGTATATCCTTGCTACAAATTTATCTATCATCTTCCACAGTACCCTCTTTATGTATGTGTGTATTAAGGGCACCTGAAACTTACTCTTAGCAAATTTTCACAATATTATAGTCCTCATACTACATATGAGATCTCCAGACTTATTCATCTTACCTAACTGTAAATTTGTACCCTGCAACCTGCTCATCCCCATTTCTTTTCCTTTCTTACCCCTAGTAACCACCATTCTAGACTATTTCTATTTATTCAACTTTAATTTTTAATATTCCACATATAAGTGCAATCATATAGTATTTTTATTTCTTTGGTTTATTTCATTTCATATATGTATATGTGTATTGCACAATTTCTTTACTCATCTGTTGATTCCGAAGATTGCTTTCATCTTATTACTGTTTAAAAACAAACCAAATCAGGGCTGGGGATTTAGCTCAGTGGTTTCGCCGCCTGCTGTGCAAGCACAAGGACCTGAGTTCGATGCCCGGTACCAAAAAAAAAAACCCAACAAACCAAATCCAAACTCACATTTGTAATTTTCCCTTGCCTTTGTTTTATAAAAATAAAATATAATGAATTTTTCTTTATTTTGATCAATAACTTTCCAACTCAGAAGCATGTAATGGATGCCTCTGTGAATAAGTCTAAAACATTTGTATGACTTCTTTTTCTATTACAACAGTTAAAATTTCAGGGAATTTATATATGAAGGCAAATTTAAAAAATAGTTAATCACAGACAGCATTTGTGTTCACTTAAATTTTGCTTAAAAAAGAGAAAAATATAAAATACATGTTAACAATGGTGATTACAAACTTTTGAATATCAAAAATAAGAGACCTCAATAAAGCTGAAGAGAAAGTTAAACTTCCATCTCTTAAAATTTCAACACAGCCAGCACCTGGGAGGCAGGAGGATTGCCTGGGCCACACAGTAAGTTCAAAGATAGACTGAATTACATAGTGAGACCTATTCTCAAAAAAACCCCAAGATTTTGGGCCGGGGATTTAGCTCAGTGGTTCCGGCGCCTGCCTTGTAAGCACAAGGTCCAGAGTTCGATCCCCGGTACCAAAAAACCCCCCCAAAAACCAAGATTTCAAAAAAGGCTGTAAATTAAGTGAAATAATATTGTAGCTACACCTTTATTTAGTTCCATTAACGCTGAATGTAAATGACAGAGGAACTGCAGTAGGCTAAATAATGGCTCACTAAAAGATGTCCATCTTCTAATCCCAGAACCTTGTTAATGTTACCTTACATGACAAAGAGGATTTAAAGTAGCAAGTGGAAATAAGATTGTTAATCATCTGACCTCAAAATACAGAGATTACCCTGGGTTATAGATGGAGACCCAATGTAATTAAAGGGTCCTCAAATGTGTAAGACAGAGGCAGAAGAGATTCGAGTGATGCTGTGAGAGAAAACTGGACTCACTATTGGCTGGCTTGGAAAACAGAAGAGGATCATGAGCCAAGCAGGCAGATGCCTTCCAAAAGTTAGAAAAGGCAAGGAAACATTATCCTTGGAATCCTCCAATAGGGCACACAGCCCTGCCAATACCCTGATTTTAGCTCAGTAAGATCTATGTCAGACAAAATAACTGCAAAAACTGTAACAATAAATTTGCATTTTTTTCATTAGTACATGTCTGCAGTAGGTAATGTTTACATTCTTTGTGTAGAGTTGTACATGTACATAACACATCTTAATTCCTTTTTTCATTTTTTCCCACCCCCCCATCTCTTGATCTTCCCATGTGAGAAAGATCTCCCTACTTCCTGTTATCTTTTATTTAGCTCTTTATTTATAATTTCTCTTATGAGAAACCATGTGATATTTAAGCCTGTGTGTCTGATTTATTTCACTTAACATTGTAGTCTCAAGGTGCATTCATTTTCCTACAAATGACTCAAATTTATCTTTACTGTGTTGTATTAAACCACTAAATGTACAATAATTTGTAACAGCAACCATAGGAAACAAATATACTAATTTTACCAAGTATCAAAAGCTGATGTTATCTCTGGCTTTGAGAACTGCATCAGTTGTCAAAGGTAGGTATCCACAAATAAAGAAATAATAGATGAAACTGAGCATTAAAGTTAAGAAGTACTTATGCACAAGGAAGGGCAATCTTTACATATTATTTAGTATCTTTACTTTTATCAATAAAACAATTTTTTGAAATCAGAATTTACTGAACACTTACTGCCAGATACTACTCTTATTGGAGATATATATGTGTGTATGTGTGTGTGTGTGTGTGTGTGTGTGTGTGTGTGTGTGTATGTGTATACACATATATATACTTTTTTCCCTTAACTTGGAAATAAAAGAGCATATAATCAATCTCTATTTTGCAGGAGACTCAAGACCAAAACTTGAGATAAGTATTATTTGGGCAGCATAATTTTAATAATTCAAACACACACATATACTATATGATACTATATAAAAGTGGATGGAGATATATATGGTGGAGTGATAATTTGTTTTTATATAATTGGAAGAAAAGTGAGCTGTAACAATCTGCTAAATATCAAACTCATACTAATATACTATGGAGAAAAAAACAATTTGCAAATTTACAAAGTTTATCTTCCATTTCTTTCTTAGTCACAAAAGTCAGTAATTTAAGAAGTTTGTAAGAAAAAAAGTGAAAATAAAAGGAAAAAATGGAAACAAAGCTTTTGTACATAGGGAGGGGAAGGGGCTTGAGGGGGGATGGGATAAAATTTATTTTAAAAAATCAAATAAATAAATAAATAAAATTGGTTTCTAAAAAGAAAAGGAGCTTGTAGTCAAATTTTACTCTTTAATAAAATATTTAGATTTTACACCAAGAACAGGCTCAAATAGTTTACTGAATTTTTTGGAAACCAATTTATACTATCAAGTAGACACACACACACACACACACACACAAACACACACACTATACACACATTTTCTACTTATGCTTTACTAATAAGGACACTAGCTTCAACTTGGTGTTTGTGTATGACATATTACATATGTTTTTATGAATATTCCCTTTCCAGGTGAGGGGAAGGGCACATAAAAAGAATCAGGATGTGTTACGTATATGTACCAACTCCCCATGTGAATGTAATCATGATGAACTGCAAATATGTACTAATAAAAATAAAAAATATTCCCCTTTCAAATTTATTCACCTTGCAAACTTAAAATCTTATTTTCAGTAAAGTTCTAATGTAAAAATATAAATCTTAAAATATACAAATAACACTATGCTTTTCAATTAAGTTACAACTTTAGTTTATCACTATACAAAATAACAGTAGTTTTGACATTCACTTCTTTGGAAATACTATCTTTTTTAACTATTTCCATTCAAAATTCAAAGAATAGCACTGGTATTTCACTTTAAATGTTAATTTTCTCACACAGATTTTTGGAGGATGGACACAAATGTCAAAGTATGATGGAAGCTTTTAAAACTGACTTGGGATTTTATCTGTCACAGGCAATGTACAGTGACTACATATCAGTTTTATGCTTTCCAGCATTTAATGAATTTTTATTGTCAGTTCTATGCTTTCAGGCATTCAATTAATTTTGTTGAGTACCTACTATGTAGAAAACAGGAGATAAGGTGGACTTAAAATATACAAAATGGTTTACGTATGTAAGAATTACTGACTTTTATGCTGATAAAGACTGAGATTTTTATATATATGTTTTGATGAACCACATGAAAACGTCAGTATTTGACTGATTTTGAACAACAGCAACTTCATATGGTTCAACCTAATATCACTCTGCAATGCCTGATAATTATATATGGAATGTATAATATTTTATCAGCAAAAACTACAGATTTTATGATATTTTTAATTTATTAACTACCAATCCACAGTGGAATAACAGGACTACATCTCACACACACAACTTTCAAATAAATGAGCCAACCATTATCTTAATTTTTCCATCCCATATATATGGCTTACTTTCCATATATTAAACATTGTCAGTTCCTGTGAAAATATAAAAAGTAGTCAGGATGCTGCTTTGCTGATGATTATAGTCTTATAGACCAGACATAGATAATTACATACGTATCAGAAAGTTGAAAGTATCTGAAGAAATTTCAAATCAAAGTAGGATTAGTTTTAACTGGTAGAATTCAGAAAAACTTTTTTGTAGTTAATGTAGATAAGCCTGAAATATGCCCAGATTGGATGGCTTCTCATGTGTTCTTCACACAAACACACACTCACACCACCTCAAACCAAACAACAGAAACAACAAAAAAATTCATGGAACAGCACAAGGAAAAATTTAAAAGTATCCTGAATGTGGCGATGGTATGTGTGTGTTCCAATTTTTATGTACATGAATTAGATTGCAATAAAACTTAAGAATGACTGGGAGATTGGGGATTGAAGAACACAGATGGACAGTCAGACATATCTGAAAGAGAAAAAAGTATGAGAAGTCGAGAACAAAAATGCTACAAGAAATGGTATAAAATGCTAGGAACAACCCTAGATTTTAATAAATAGCTTGGTTCATTATCTGAACATATGAACAGGAGATATCTCTTCAATATGCGTTATTAAATCCTCAGAGATAACTGTGAAAAATCAATGATGCACAAATGCACAGTGAAGAAATGCTTAGGAAGCAGGTAGGGTAAGATAGTTGTATCCCACTCCTCAGATCTTTATATTAATAATCAAAACATCTTAATATAAAAAGAAAATGAAAATAATTATAGCACATACAAACATGAAATAAGAAAAAGAACAATGCATAAATTTCATGCCAACAGAAGATAAATGGTAATAAATGGTACAGCAGTATTTTAGTACTGAGCATTTATACTGAAATATTTCAATGTATATTGTTCTTTTTTTTTTATTGGTACCAGGGATTGAACTCAGGACCTTCCGCTTGTGAGGCAGGCGCAGTCCTACTGAGCTAAATCCCTGGCGCAATATTGTTCTAATTGTTGAAGATACAGTCATAACCAAGACAATGTCACTTGCTGGCAGCAGGTGTGGTGGCACACACCTGCATCCCAGCAATCTTGGACGCTAAGGCAGGCGAAATCAATGGTTTGCATGAGATTTACATTCTAATGTTGAAAACAGATGATAAAGAAACTGATGATGTAATGTAGTACAGAGGCAAGAGAAGGATTACTTAGAATAGTACCGAAGAGTTAGCTGTGGTGGTAAGCAACTGAACAGACACATCAAAGAAGTAAGAGAAAGTCATGAAAATATTTAGAAGAAATATTTTGACAAAACAGCAACTATACAGGTCTGAGGTCAGAGTGCTTGTTTTATTTAAAGAATAGCAAAACAGCCAGTGTAGCTAGTGTAATGAGAGACAAGTGTTTTTAGAAGATGAGATTAGAAGATAGCCAGGGGTAAATCATGTGTGGACTTAGAGAGTCAGATTAAAGACTAGGTTTTATTCTAATTGTGATGCAAAGTCATTGCAGAACTTTACTACCTTTCAGTTGTTAGGACAAAATACCTGACATACACAACTTCAAGGAGAAAGGTTTATCTCGGTTTACAATTTCAGAGGTTTCACTTCATGATAAGCTGGGTCCAAGGCAGAAACATCATGGCAGAGAGCTATGGCAAAAGATAGGTGCTCACTAGTGTAGCCAGAAGCAGAGAGAAAGCAGGAAGAGCCCAAGAGGAAGAGGTCAGAGACCAGATATCGTCCCCAGGGTCATGCCCTCATGACCTACCCAGATACATGGGAAAGTGTGCTTCATTAATTTCCTAGGCATCTCTCAAGCCAATCAAGTTGAAAATCAAGATTAACCATCAAAGGGTTTTGAACAGAAGGCTGGAAATAATATGACAAATTTTAAAAGGACAACTCTGGCTGTATTGTGTACAGGTCTGATAATTTTATCATATAGACTAATAAAAAGTTGTGAAAAAACCTTTCACGCCAAACTGAATTTCATCACATTTGCACCTAAATTTTCTCCTCCTTGTGAATTCCCTATCATTGTAAAGAGCATCATCATTCATCAATCTATCCACATAACCAATCTAAAAATCATTTTTTACTCTGAGTTCTTCCTAATATCCCGATGCCAACAGCTTCACTCTGTCTTTGTTTTCACTGCTGTTACAAGACAGATGAAACTGTTTAGCTTGGATTGCTAAAAGAGTTTACTTAAATTTGCTGCTTGCAGACTGAGGATGGATGTGAACTTTCTAACTTTAAACCTGTATATTTCCCTTGCTAAAAGTCTTTCAGCAGCTCCATATATTTTACAAAATAGAATCCTAAGTAGTTAATTTTGACTGTACATTCTGGTTCGTCTTTAAGTTATGCTATATTTCATGCTATGCCTTAGTCACTTAAAGAGCCACTAATGAAGAAGGGGGAAAAGGTCCTGCTGCAGTAAACTACAGAAATTCTCCTAAACAAATTATGCCTTTCTGGATATTCAAATTTGTTATTCTATGAAAGCACGGCCTTTCATTAAAAATGAGTGAGAGAGTTAACAACTACATTTTTGTTTTGTTTTCTGAGACAAAGTCTCGCTATGTAGAGTTCAGGTTGGTCTTGAACTCACTATGTAGACCCAGGGTGGCTTTGAATTTGTGGCAATCTTGCCTCAGTCTCCTGAGTGCTGAATTTCAGGGATGCACCAACAAGCCAGGCTTAGAGTTGACAACTGCTAACATTAGAAGTGTCTGCCAAAATGAAACCAGTAATCTGTATAACCAATAATTACTAAAAAAGTTTTAAAAATATTATGTGCAGTCTATCTACTCTTAGATATATTAGGTAAAAACTACGTTAAGAACTTGTGGTATAGCTATACCAAATCATTTCCATTTCTCAGAACAAGCCACGGTATTCCACAGTCTATTACCGTGTATATACTGGGTTTACCCGTATCATCATCCCTAGAAAGTAATTCCTCCTTAAATGCCAAATCTTTCAAATCTCATATTAAGACTTAAATGTTTTTCTGGCAGCTACGTGATCTTTATTCAAAGTGTTTCCAAAGTAATTCAAACAAACTATTATATACATGTAGATAGTCTTCTAAAAGCAGGATATTATCTGTTGAGTAGCAATTATGGATAAGGCACCATCACATTTATTCCCTAGAGCCTAGTATGTCTATTAAACTGTTAAACCCATAATGAATAAATATTTCATACACTTTCAATTAAAATCTTCCCTAGCTCATAAAGATGTACTCTCTGTCCCTTTGAGAAGTTTAAAGATGAAAAATGAAAACCAAAGATAAAACAACTGGCAGGCCTAACTCAGCAGCCTCTCTAATAGACTTTGGACTTCCACTTGAGTCCTTGTCAAATTAATCAATCTCCTAACTAAAAATAAAAAGCTACTAGAAAATTATGTATTTATTTTAGTAGGATGTCACAGTCCTATTCATTTTGGACCTGTGGTTACTGTAACTTTATGTATTTGTTTAACTTTTAGGATGTCCGTAACTCTGCTTAGTTTAGGGCAGTGGTTGTTAATCTTGTGGGGATTAGAGACCACAGTAAGAGTATAGTGAAACCTATGACCCTCCCCTCCATCCAGTTATTAGCATACAAACTCACCTTTCAAGTAACTTCAAAGGGTTCTTAAATCCCTTAAATTAACCCATCAATCCCAGATTTTAAAAAATCTTACTACAGAGGGCGGTAAATGGCTTAATTTAATTTTAAAGTAGCATCAAGTACTACAACCACAGTTCCAGTAACATAGTTTTGCTAAAAAAATTAAAAATACTGAAAAAAGTCCGAAAATATTTGATAAAAATGAAAAATCTCCCAAACTAAAGGTTAATACTAAAAACAATATCACAGAAAATAACCATCCAATAATAAATATTCAAGGTTAGTGAAATAATATCCTATTTTTAAGAAACAAAAATATATGTCTCTGGAAATAATAAAAGCCAGGTGTGGTGATCATGCCTATAATCCTAGTACTCAGCAGAGGCAGGAGGATTTCAAGTTTGAGACCAGCCTGGGCTACATAGTGAGTTCATGGCCTACCTGGACTATTTTCTGATTCTGTCTTAAAATACAAATTAAAAAATAGCAACAAAACCCAAAAACACTCCACAAAAAACAAAAACAAAAATCCTTTTGAAATGACATAAAATCTACCTTTCACAATTAACCTTACAAACACTTTAGTTATAACACAGACACATATTTCTCTTTCTCAATATCTTCTCAAATTTAATTTAGAGTGGGAAGCTGTGACTCATGACTTCACGATCTTTTCCTCCATGATTTCAAATTCTTTCTACACCGGAACAAAAATAAATACAACTTTTATTCCCAAATTATTTAAGAAATAACTATGAAGCTATGAAGAAACACCGATTTACAAAGATAAAAATCTTTAAAACAGAAGAATTCAGAGTAGGAAGGTAGATTTCCATAACAGACTCATTTGTCTCAGAATTTTTTAAGAACAGCTAAAACCATAAAACCTTATGTCAAAAGAACTTTTAGGATAATCCGGTTCAGTGTTTTCCAACATTTTTTCTGCCACATTAAACAAAGATTCTCATTAATTAAAAACTGCTCCCCATAACACTGATTTTCAATGGGGATTTATATCCCCATACCAGAATCCCAAGAATGTACAGGTCTAAGCCAGGTAATCACTGATTCTAGAATATTCTGTCTTTTCATTGTTCTTTTCCTAAAAATCTATGTGGTAATGAAAAACCCATCACAGCTTAAGTTTTTTAAATAAAAAAATTTTGTCTTAAAATAATTTTAGATTTACAAAAAAGGTGCAAATACAGAGAACTATACACCCTTTAATTATATAATCAAATTTTTAATTGAGTGGATTTTGGTAGGAATAAATAATGTTTAAAACATTGCTTTTTAAAAAACTTTTTTTGGTCTATACATTCAAATTATGAGGCTAATATGGTTCCAGAAATCATAATTTACTGTTTAAACAGTGAAACTACTAACAAAAATGTATTATATATGGATCTCAAAAAGAATTTTTTATAGTATGACAGTTTAAGAAGATAGAACATTACTGTATAGCTTCGCAGGGACCATGCATATCAGATGACTCAAATTCTCACACTTCTGTACTTGTCCACCAATGACTCCCAACTGCTACCAACACTGACACTGGGGTTACAAATTATAATTTTAGCAAGTAGATGAACTCACAAAAGTGGACCCTGCAAGTAGATGAACTCACAAAAGAGGCTTGATTATTTTATTTACTGTACTTACCTTTGAAGAACCATTTGAATACATCTGTATCATATTTTCTGCACCTTGTTTTACTTTAAGTTCTATATCTAGTTGTTTTTGTAAGGCCATCAATCTATTGTTGCTAGCAGAACAACGAGGGTCATTATTTGGAGTATCTGGAGTCCTTGGACAATCTGTAAATAAAGTGTTAGTTACTTATTAGGATCAACTGTTGCTTAGAAATGGAAGTCAATATTTTTGAAGACTAAGAAACAGGGTTTGAAATGACCCTGAAGTCATCTAAGTGGAATCTTCTTATGCTTACAGATAATACAAAAATTCAATCAATCCAAGTAAAGGCAATATTTGAGTTGCGAGACCACCTGCTAGGATAGGTTCTAATTCCTACAGAAATAACTGAGTCTGCAACTGAATTAGAGATGACTGTCCAAGATTTTACTAACATTACTATTTCTAAATTAAATTATAGCAATTTGACTAGTTTATTCAGCAATTAAATTCCCTACTTGTTACTTGACTGGTCAGAGAACAAAGTATACATAAATATTGCACAAATTCCATTAAGGTAATTCTTTGAAAACAGAACTAACAGTTCTTGAAATACAGTACTTGCATCAATTACTCATAGCTTAAGCACAAGCATACAAACCTTCACATTTTGTTTTCCACTATGAAGATATTCAATCACAATGGAAAATGTTTCAAAGACAGTGAGTGACTGATAAAGACTGTTGGTAGGAAGGTAAAGGGAGACCAAACACTCAAGTCTATCACATATCATAAAGAATATCATGTTGTTTATACATAAAAAACAAAACTTCAAAAAGGGTCATCGAATTATTTGGGGTAATCCACTTCTAACAACTGTACTATGTAACTAAATATTCAAGTTCATTATTTTGTTTTTATGTATACTAGCTCTCTATCTTGTAAAAAAGCTAGAAGACCAGGATACTAAGCCTCTTTTAGGTGATAAGTAATCACTGAAAAGTTGCTTAACATTTGTGCTAAGGGTTCCCTTTTCTCCTATGCAAGGTAAAATGGAGTAACAAATCTATTTTAATAAATATATTTCATATTTTTTTTTATTCTTTTAAAAAATTCATTAGTTCAAAACCATGAAAACATCATTTCTTAACATACAAAGAGTGATTGAAAAATGACATGAATATTTAAACAAAAATATTACAGTAAAAGACACATTACCATAAATTCATCTCAACATACTCCCCCTCACTTTGAACACACTTATCTCATCCTTCTTGCTACTTTCTAAAGCAGTTTTAAGTTCTCCCTTGTATCTTTATGAAATGTGATAAAAAACACAGTGAATGCTGCTGCCAAGTGCTATCCAATGGAAAGGAAGGCTTGTGAAAACATTATGGTATGTCTTCAACCATCTCATTCATTAGATCTGGCACCATGTAACTTTTGGTTCTTCTCCAAAGTCAAAATGACCAGGAAAGGTAAACATTTTGAATTGATTCAGGACCAAAGCAGCCATGATAGTGCAACTAAAGACCCTCAGATACGAGGCTTTATAGTCCTTTAAAAATATAAGCACCAATCTTCATAAATAGCTCCATAATGGATATTACACTCATAATACAAATATGAAAACCAGGACATCATCAAAGTTAAGAAATTTGCCCAAGGTCATATACCTAGTAGGTGCCACAACCTGGATTTCAATGTAGTCAGTTCTGTTCTGAAGTCTGTCCTATTAACCATCGTGCTATGCTGTCTCTACCATCTAAAGGTCTTATAGATAACTATACTAGGCTATGTGTAACAGTGTATTATACATATACACATATTTTTTAGATAGATATCATGCACATTTTACATTTCAGGAATCAGGCAAAGCCGCAAGTTATTAACTGGGGTTCAATTCAGGAAAGAATTCTATTTTAACTGAATTCATCAAATTATACATAAACTGCTTTGGAAGTTCATTTTATAAGCCATAGTCTTACAGAAAACTTAATTAAAATATAGGCTTTCAGATTAGCTCACAAAATACACATAGTTAACATTGTCTAGATTTGAATCTGTTTTGGCACTGAAATCTAGTACACTCTATGTAACACAGGTACACAGGTTAAGTACTTATCAGCTCTACATCTCACTGTCTTCATCTGTTAAATAGTGGTGAACAGTGTTGCGAAAATTAAATAAGGTATGTGCAAAAAGCTTAGAAAAGGATGTAGTATATGGTAAATAATCAATAAATACTGACTACTCAAGTAGGAAGGTGAGCTTATTTCTGTTGAGTGTATTACAACAATGAACAGTATAGATCTAGGAACATTTTGGTTTTTTCTTTTTTTTATGTAAATGATACTGGTACAAGAGTCTTATAATTACATAGAGTCTGGCATAATAGTTTATGGTGAGCACACTGTAAAAAGGACTGGAATGCATTCAGCGTAGAATGTATTAGCTGAAGAGTATGGAAATGTGTTTTCTGTGAAATAGCTGTTTAGCCTAAGATGAGGGGAGAAATGATATCTGTTTAAAGTTTAAACATTTTCCTTGAAATGAAATAAAAGCTGTATATTTACTATTTCCCCACAGGACAGAGAATCAGATTCAATAAGTGAAAGTGTGGGCAAGAGATGTATCACAAGATAAAACAAAATTTCTTACAGTGCAGGTTATCTAAAAATTAAATGGTTTGCCTTATGTCATAAAGTTCATTGTCTCTGAAAATATATAAATGTTAGATTATAATTCAGTAGATATACAACAGGTTGTAACAAGACACTGAAATATCTACTGATCTAAGTCTGAGCGGTTGTAAAAATATTGTAATACCTACCACTGTTCTTATGGAAAAGTATGTTCTAAGTTTTGGTAAGGATTACAGTGACAGAAGAAATAACAATAGGCAAGAGGCTGGGCTCAGGTCAAAATGCCTGGGTTAAAATCCTATGGCTATTACTTATGTGTATGGTATTGATTTCAGACTTAATACATCTATGCTACAGTTTTTAGTCACCAAATGAGAGATGTGATGAAGACAAAGCCTGTATAGTTCATAGATCAATGGTTAAAACATAGCAAGGGGTTAAAAAAATTACAAGTCAAAGCTTAGCAAAATAGTTAGAATTTCCACTCGTTTAATCTTCACAGAAACTCAAGGATTTTTTAATATAACCTGTTTTAACCAAACCAAAACTAAACCAAACCAAAATCCACCAGAAATTCTTAGAAATTTGCAAAAGTCACAAAAATATACATCAAAGCATAATTTCCATTGTTGATATGCCTTGTTTTATAAAGTTTGTTTTTTTTTCTTTTAGAAATTGGAGAAATACTTTGATGTCTTCCATGGATTTTACCTGTTTCCTTAAACCTGCATTTTAAATTCTTATTTGCTATTTTCTTCTCTCCAGTTTTCCTCCTTGTAGGTTTTGATAAGTTAGAGCAAACACATAGTTGTCAGTATATGTGCTAACCTCCTGTCTTCATAGTGAACTACATTTCAAAATAGGACTAATTAGAACTTCTTATTAATGTTCTCTCCAGTCTACAAAAAGAAATAAAAAGGAAACTCTTATCAAATGAAAATTATTTTTCCATTCTAAGAACTACTTTTAATTATAAGAAGAAATGTTGAACTTGCTCTTACACAGTTTGGTAACTGAAGAAACTAGCTAAATTTCATGATTATACTAGTAACAAATCTCCATTTGCTATAGCTACTGCTAAAATTACAAAAAAAAAATTTTGAGGGGAGGTTTAGTACAAGAAACTGCATGCATCTATCAAAGAGATAAAGTTGTATGCATGTCTAAATTACAGTAAAGCACCAGAGATAAGCCTATGAAATCATATCTTTATACACATTTAACCAGTACAAATTGTGCTTTTAAGATAGTGGACAGGACTAAGTCCCTTCACTTAAACATTTTTAATGCTTGTCTACATACAGAGCCCTAACTACACAGCCAGGCATGAACAACTTTATACTATGTAGCTTCAAGATAAAAATATTATCGTAAGGTTCTTTCAGATCTATGTTCAGTTAAATTTTCTACTTATGAGAAATGCAACACATCTGCCTTCCTCCCTGCTGTTATACTGGCATTAGTTTCTCCAGAATAACTTTCCTAATCATCTCCAGTCTAATCAGACACCCATCCTAATGTCTTCAAAATTTACTTTCTTCCACTGAAATACTGTAAAATAATATTATAATGATCTGTTTTCCCTCACAGACTAAGCACCTTGAGTACTGGTACTTGTTCACCAAACACCCTTGAAAGAGTATATGTAGACTATCTTCTACTTTTTTGGGGGGGGCGGTACCAAGGATTGAACTCAGGTCCTTGCGCTTGCGAGGCAGGCAGCAGAACCACTGAGCTAAATCCCTGGCCCTATCTTCCACTTTTCAAATGAGAAAACCAAGGTGTAGCTAGGTTCCAAGTGGTATACAATTACACAACTATGTAACGGTCTGCCTTTGTTACTTTTCTTGTTGCTGAGACAAAATACCCAACAACCACAAGTTAAAGGAGGAAAGGTTTATGTCAGCTCAGTTTGTAGAGGTTTTGGTCCATGGTCAGCTGGCTCCAAGGCAAGATGGCATGGCAGAGGGGCATCTCAGAGGAGAAATTGTCCATGGCTTGGTAGGCAGAAGGCATCAAGCAGCAAGCAGTGAAGCAGCAGCAGCAAGCAGCCTTTCTTTTTGTCCATCCAGACTATAACCATTCTGCGTGGTGCCACCCAAACCAAGGGTGGGGTTTCTGTCTTCAGAGAATTCATTCTGCCTCACTCACTACTATGCTAATTGGAATCAATGTGACTAATTTAGCATCACATACCCTTACTAGCAATATCACACTCCCTAGACCCAAAAAGCCCCACCTATGAGTAAATGAGACTTTGAGGGGACATGCAGATATAACCCATCACATGGTCCAGCTGGACAACATCTCAGATCATATAACCTTTGGTCTTCATTTCATAGCCAGCTGACTCTGCTGAATATTCAAAGAGTGGTACTTTTACAAATTGGATGTCTGCTTATGGGACAAGGCTATGTAATATAGTAAAAAATTAATCCAGAGATAGTGGCACACACCTGAAATTTCAGCTAGTCAGGAGGCTGAGGAAGTAGGATTCCAAGTTCGTCTGTCATATGTCAACAACTGAAGTGATTTAGCTT